GAAATGCCCATACAAGGAGCAGACCTCCAGAGGGCAGGAAGTGAGGAATGAAAAGGCCGTCTGGAAGGCGTCGATAAGAGTCGATACGTGAACTCTGAACCCTGCCCATCTTAGAGCGGCGTCTGAGTCAGAGGAGGAAGCACCGAGGAAACGGGAACAGCGTCGGGTGAAACAGACACACCTTTCAGAGCTGGCGGAGAAAGAGGAAATCAAGAGCAGCCGGCTGGGATGAAGAACGGGCCTCTCAGAGCAGAATGATAAAAGGCTGCTCCTGGCCTCCATGTGAGGAGGCCCTTTGTGTGGCAGAGAGCTCCAGGCATCTGTCCCACACAGTCCGGCCTGGAGGCCACGACGGAGGGGGGGCGGCTCTGGTGTTCACCCTCCCAGCAGGGTCACCCAAGGACAAGGCCACAGCATCAAACCAAACTGCCAGAGAAGCAGCCAGCGCCAAGCCTCAGTGTGCCTTTATATACCAGGCCCCGCACCACATGAAGGGAAAATAACCAGTCGCCAATCTGGATTTGCACTGCAGGGTTGGCATGCAACCCCGAGGACGCATTCTGGAGGATCTGTGCGGCAGACAGCAGTGCATGGCACACAGGAGGCTTCTCTGTGGGAGGGGATGAGTAATATGAGAGGGGATTATCAGTCGAGGAAGCTGGCATCAGTCTCAGTAATCATTCGGAAAAACCAAATGCATGCTTGCACTTGACAACAAGAAAATGTCTGTTTTCCTTCAGCTCCATCGGTTCTCAGTGCATGACAGGGAAGGCAGCGTGAGTCAACGCTCGCAGCCTGTCATCAATACCACTTCACAACGACAAGCTGGAGTAAACAAAACCAGTTTGATGTTTTTAAGAGCAAAGGTCGGGCTTGGGTTTCACATTCACAGAAATATTTCCATAAATACCACGACGCATGTAGCACAGCGCGCTCATGCAGCTTTCTTTTATAAATATCTTCAAAGTGCCTTAAAATAGAAACTACAGGGCTCAGTCTGTGTGAAATCTGACAGAATTCAGGAAACGTGGCTCAACTGTTCAGTTTTTTGTTATCTGGGAGTCAAAACCAAGTTCTGTAAAATATTTTGGTTGAATTTTGAGAATTTCAGATATTTTCAGACCTGTGATTTTTTATTAAATTTTACTTGTGAGTCCACTTTAAAGGTTAAATATCTCCATAAATATAACTCTCAAAGACTTGACATGTGGCGAGGACAAAGACAAAACTGTTCCCAGCACATCAAAAGGATAGACTGGTTCCAGCAGAGGACAAAACTTTAGTTATTGACTGTTAAAAATGTGGGGAAAACATGCAGAGTTTTCAAAACAGGGTGGTATAAGGGTCTTAGAAAGGTCCTGAAAGTGTACACATATGTTTGGATGTATCCTTAAGTCCTACAAAAAAATGCAGCCAAATACAAAGTACAGCACATTCCCAGGTCTGAAAACATGAAATTCTCTAAATTCTGCCAAATCTTTTACGAAACTTTGTTTTGTGTTTCAAATACCAAATAAATAAACAAAATCTGAGATGATGGAGCAACACTTCAAACTGAAAACACACAAATTAAACCACATTAGATAAAGAAATGTGGCCAAAAATGCTATAAAAAAAAAATTGCACCATACCGGGTGTTCAGTTCAGCATTTACAATCAGCCACAGTTCACTTCTCCACTTACATTCTCATGTATCTTTGCTTTTTTTCAGAAAAAGCTAAATTAACACCCAGTTTATCAGTCAAATGATCCAAACAGGAGTGTTTCATGTCCATCCAACCCTTGGAGTCACTCCACCTGAATCCAACACAACTCTAAGAACCAGCAACACTGAGCTCCTGGGTTTGTTTCTTGCTGTTTCTCCACAGATGCTGGCTTTAACGGGGCCGACTGTGGCCACAGAGACCGACGGTGCTGCTGTCCAACAGTCAGACGTCACTGGGAAACAACAGCTCCTTGTCTGGACGCGCTGACACATGGATGTGCACACACACACGTGAGTGTAACGCCAAATCTTTCTATTTCGTGGACAGGAACAACCACCGAAAATTGCTCCACTTTGATAATCACAGATTGGAGGGCCAGCTAAACGTCCGAGACTTAATTTAATCTGTCCAATAACATGATTACGGCACAAAACACACTCACATTAGAGGCACATTTAATTTTCCGTGTTATCATCAAAGCCTTTTTAATACCGTTCCTCCGCTAAGCCTCGCGGCCCGTTATGGAACAGAGAGGTGTTGGCTGATGGGGCCGCTGCGTTAATGTGTGTGTGTCGATATTTACTGTATGAGTGTGTGTGTGTGTGTGTGTGTGTGTGTGTGTGCAGGATGATTGACAGCTGGCTCCTCTCAGCCTCTGGCTCTGACTGACTTTATCACAGCGACTCCTGTGCAGCGAATCACGCTAAGTCCTCTAAGCTCCCGGCGCCTGCTGCCTGTTTACCTACTAAAATGCACACCTTAGCTCATTTCTGTGATGGCTGGAGCTGATTTGTTAAAAAGAAAAAGAAAAGAAAAAACCCTCAGGATAACAAAAGCTCATTCAGCATATAATTACTATTCTTATCCTGAAGGGATGAGCCGGTGTGAGGTGCTAGGACTAGTTAAGCGGTTGAATAAACAGAAAGATTCTTCCCTTGTGTTTCATCACACACCCACCGAAGACTTCCAGTCATAGGGAAGGATTGATGTGCTAACTGTGGTTGTGTAACAGGTATATTTTAACCAAAACAATGCAATAAGTTTAAAAGAGATGAAGGCACCAAGGTGCCTCAATAACATCAGTTAGAAATGTCTAGCTTACTTTTGCTAACAGCTAACATCAGCTACTGTAAGTGACTGAATGACTCTGTGGATCGTAGTTGATGCTATTTTAGCAACGCATAAGCTGCAACTAACTGAAACAAATGTTCATTTGTTTATAATAGCTAATGTTAGCTTTATGTAAGCTTATGTATGCTAACATTTTCTATTATGTATTAGTTCAGGATAGCTAATGTTACCAAGTGCATCAGCTACATTACCCACTGTAAAGAAATATTTAAAAAAACAACAACATTGGCTCACTATACCAGTATTTTAGCTAATGTTTTCTTAAAGCCTGTAGCTTGTGGTAAACATTGTTAGCTAAAATGTGCTACCATTACCTGTTTTAAGTGAATGGAATGGCTGGTCAGTTATTGTAGCTAATGTTAGCTATGTCTTAGCTAACGTTTGCTAAGATTTACTACCATCCAGTCTTTTAAGATTGCTAATGTTACCAAGCACATCAGCTACAATATCAACTGCACATTTGCTTTATGTTAGCTAATATTTGTTTACATTTGCTGTATCCAGGCACATTCGGTAGCTAATGTTAGCTAGCATGAACTATCATTACCTACCCTCACATCAGCTACCAAAAGCAACTGAATGACCTCATGGTAGCTAATGTTAGCCAGAAACATCCAGTCACTTTTGGTAGCTAACAATAGCCAATACATCAACTACATTACCTGCCATAAGCAAACAGAATGACCAGTTGCTTGTGGCAGCTAATGCTAGCTGTGTGTTAGCACATGTTTGTAAACGTTTAATGCATTCAGCCACTTATGGTACCTTATAGTAACTTACATTAGTGACCATTAGCGAATGGAATGACCAGTCATTTGTTAGCTAATGTGCTAAAATCCAGTTTCTTATAGTCAGTCCACACACAGTTAAGGATTTAGCTGCAAAACCAGGCAGTAGTGAATGGAGTAAAGATGTGTTTTAATGTTTTAATGAATGGAACGTTTCCTTTGTATGACAGAAGTGGTGTTACTCTTTTTTTCTTTTTTTTTTTAAGTTATACTAGTTACTGAACAGGGTAAAGTATTAAGTATTTGTGTTTGACGCATTGGCTGATGTTTGCACCTGAACCTTGATGTGCCTGCACACCGAGGACAGAACAGCCTGTTTCAAATGAATGAAAAACTGTTAAAGACGACCAGTTTGTCCAGAAAAAGGTAAATGTGAAACTCACTGGTTTATTTTCTCGGGCAGCCTGAGATATATACTTTAAATGAGATACTGTCTAGCCAATAAAACAACAAATACATATTATGGACACTCTGTTTGGGCGATTGTATATATAGCTATACTGTAAATGGCCAAGCCAAGTGCAGCGGGTCTGCCAGAGACCATGTGTACAGCATTTAAATGCAGGGAAAAAAGTACTTTCAGGCAGCTGGGCTCCACCAAAATCCAAAAAACAGCTCTGTGCTGTTTGCTTTTCCACAAGTTCTTCCCATATTCGCTGCCTTTCTGTGGCTTAGACTGGCTCTGCTACACACAGTGTGCCAGTATACGAGTAAAGCCAAATGGGAGCCCTGCACAAAAACACTACCCTGCTCTGTGGTGAGCGCCAGGCCCGGCACACCCTGTCCACATTTCACATGGCAGACCCACAATCTCTGCTGCCTTTCTGCCTTCTGTGTGTGCAATCACACCGATGAAAGCAGGGCGGACAGGCAGGATAACAGGTCACGGTGTAAATAAGAAAACGCCATGTCCTATCACATCTGACAGCCACGCTCGCCAGCTCAGTGAGGCCACACCCACCAGAGCTGAAGCTACGATTTAAATCCACCGTGATCACAAAGACGGGACAGACCAGTGTCCATTTTCTCCATTTTCTCTTTCTCTGCAGCCACATCACCCTGATTAAAATATGCACCTCTTTTACTTTCAGTCTAAAACACAATTAAAGTAACAGTCTGAAAATCTGGATGGCAGTCAAACCCATTTAGGAAACATTTGGAGTCAATAAATAATCAGAAATTGTAATTTATCAAGCACGAATGCCAAATAGTTGCTTTTTCCAGCCTCAAATGTGATGATCTGCTGCTTTCTGTTTTTTTCATCATTACAAACTGAATATTTTTAGGTTTTGGAGAAATGCTCAGACCAAACAACTGTTAAAAAAAAGAAGATTTCAGGTCTTTTTTTCTTTTACATTTTACTGACTAAATTAGAAATGTGGTATTTGGTGGCCCAGGAAGCAGCAGTCCAGAGGTGTTCCTTCCCACCAATCACTTCAGCAGGTGGTTTCACTGATGAGTTCCTCCCTCTACTTTAAGGATCAGTGAAATCAGCCGGTTGAAATGAAAACCTGCAAATTATTGGCTCTCCGTGGTGGGTGGTTTCTCAGCCCTGGACTGAATTAATCAAAAATGAACTGACAGATTACCAGATACTGAAAATAGTTATTATTTCTAGCTCTGGCGAAACGTAGAGTCTCCTGCCTTGCCGACTTCCTGTCTCACCTTGCTGGGTGTTTTATCTGCAGCCAGAGTGCTCCTCGGTGGGACCTGGTAGACTTCCTGTCCTGGAGGAACCTGGTAGATGCTCTGCTGCTGCTGCTGCTGCTGCTGCTGTGGACTCTGCAGGGACGAAGGCATCTGGTAAAGCCCCGGAGCCCCTGAGCCGGCCTTCTGCTGGTAGCTCTGAGGAGGAGACTGGGCGGCGGCGGCGGCCGACGACTGAGCCTCGAACATTGGTCCGATGAGCAGCTTCAGGCGGTTGCCGGGGGCGATGCCTTGGCGGCCATGCAGGGAGCAGAGCCACCAGCCCTCCAGGCCGCCAGTGTTCTGCTCAATCACGGTCAGGATGTCCCCTTTCCGGAAGGCCAGCTCCTCGGGGGACTCGGGCATGTTGTCGTACAACGCCTTGGCCATCAGGTTCTGCAGAAAGAAGGGTAAGACTGTTAATTAGGACAGAACAACAAGTGGAAACAGCAGCTTTTACCTCGTAGCACGCAGTGTTTGACAGAATTTCACTAAAAAATGAAGGAATAGCTCAACATCTGGGGAAGCAGCTTCTTACTGAGAGTTAAATGAGAGGATTGATGCTGCAGCCTGGCAACTACGTAGCTACCGCTAGTTAGCTTAGCCAGATAACTGGAAGTAGCATCATTTACCACAAGCACCTACAGAGCTGTAAACAATCACTTGTTGCTTGTTTAGTCCATGAAAAAAACTAGGTGTAAAGACAACAAGTTCTCCTTTCGTGGCGTTTTTTTTTTTTTTTTAAGTCACAAGGCACATAAACCCCCACTAAACCACACTTTGAATTAAAATAAACACAGAGAAAGAAACAACTTTTTGGTTCTAAAACGTTATTGGTTGGTTTTTGTCATCTCCTCTGTTTTTCCTTTTCTTTTGTTCTTTGGTTTTGAGTGTTGGACACGTCTTTTAAATGGATTTAGTTGTCCTGATAGTAAAAGACTAAAAGAAAACACACTGTTTCATGAGTCAGAGGTTTAGAGTCAGACTCTGTCACCTTTGGAAAACTTAGGTTAGCTGTCTTTATGCTAAGCTAAGCTAACTGACTGCTGGGTCACATTTACTGCGCAGACATTACATAGCATCAACTCTCATCTAACTGTCTGCAATACAGTAATTGAGGGTCTTTTACTCGGTGTCAGACTCCTCCTTTATAACACCACCGGTTTTTAACCACTGTGGTGAGTGACATGCTGGTGAACTTTGGGCAGATTTGCCATTAGCCTGCAGCTTTGCACCAGATGTCTTTCAAACCAAATGTGAACTTGATGGGATTTTCTCAGCTCGTACCGTGCTTCAGGGCAGAGTTATCTAAGGGTCCAGAGAGGGTTGAGGGATAATGACTCAAAACCACAGATTTTGGAGATAGGAAAAGCCCTGGAGCGTGCCGCTTCTGTGTCTGAGTGAGGCATTTAAGGCTAATTGCCTCAGTAAATGCATCAGTCTTTTTCCTTTCGCCTTTATTCAGCCACGGAAGGAGTTAACTGAGCATGAATACTCCTTTTCAACTCCTTGATGCTCACGATTTTAACTCCAGGGAGCTGCCCAGCACAACAGTCCATGCAAACTCCATAAATACAATTAGGGGTTAAGCACCTTGCTCAAGGGCACCTTACAGACGGCCAGAGAGCAGCGTTTGTTGCTCAGCTTTCCCAGCTCGTCTGCGATTCATGCCAACAACCAGCCTTTGTCGTGGCTTTTTCCTTTAAAACTTCTTTTAAACTTTAACGAGACTCAACTTCTTGACTCTCATGTGAAAAAAAAAGTCCAAAACGAAACCTCTTTTTGGCTCACGAGTCAAACAAAAAGAATTAAACGCAAGTTCAAAGGCTGTTTCTCGCATGTTTGGTAAAGAAACCTGGACCACTTCCTTCTATCACAGCTGACCATCCAAAGGAACAATTGCTCAAAATTGCATCAGTTTATGAGTCAGAAGAAAGAAAAAAAAAAAAGCAAATTATATCAATATATTGGTATAATTACACACAACAACTGACTTCAGCGTAATTCGCTGCTCAGATAGGCCTCGTAAAGACAATAAAGAGAAGCAACACGCCCCTCATTTGTTCAGTTATTGCTTCTTGTTAAGCAATAAAATGAAAATATATATAATGAAGATGAACCGAAAGCACTGTTGCTGCTTTAAAATCTTCATCAGCTCTGATCTTTCTGTGCAGTGAGCTGGATTAAATCTGCATCAGAACAGATTAAATGAGCTGAAAAACAGTCAAACTGGATCAGATTTGGGCAAATAACAAAAAACTGGAATATTTTAGCAGAAACTTTGACTCGCAGCCGCTCAGTGGAAAGTCCGACACTTTCATTTGTCTCTGTTGCGGTTTTATTCTTGCTCTACGCTGTCAGCGGCTCGAGCTTCCCTGTGGGAATCAGGAAGCCTCTTTGCGGCTGCTGCTGGTTTGAAGATTTCTTGAACCTTCTCTGGCCTTCCTCTTTCCTCGCGGCCTGGCTCACATAGTTCCCATGTGAAACTCTGTGCCGCTAACGTCGTTATCTCTCTCTGGCTATTGTCTGAGTACGCTGTCAGTACCATTAGCCAGCAACACCCATCGCACAATTACACTCTCACAATCAGCCAGCGCCACCAGTGAGCTGCAGCCAGTTCGATCATGACCCCCGGAGGTCAGCGCCGCCCAATGGGAGCGGACCTGGACGCTGGCTCACTCCAATAATTTGATCAGCGGTGGCAGAGTCATCCATGAGGAAACAAAATGCTGATTACTGTGATTACTGCTGCTGCTCCAATTAGAGTCTGAATGTAAGAGGAAGTGCAGCAGCTTTTAGAGCTGCAGCGATTTTAATAAACCATGAATTGATCAGGTCAGGTTGAAAGTGAAGCCACTGAAATGTGTTTATTGGCTTGTTTTATTGAGCTTTTTGTGGGAAAAGTACAAGTTTTTAACTGTTTAAGGGGAAATCAGCTTTGAAAGTTTTTACTTGTTGACATTTTACAGATCAGAGAATACATCAGCTTAGAAAAATAATGGTTGGTTACTTGTTTTATATGAATTCTTAGAAGTTTTTCCCCAATTTTACTTCATTTATCAGTTTATTTCTGTTATTTTAGTTGTTGTATCTCATTTCTTCTTAAGCCAATCCAATTTAACATCTGTTACTTCACAAGATAAAGTTGGATTCAACACTACACGCTTGTAAATGTTTTAATTTAACCTCATGAAGAGTGCTCAATGAGGCTGTTGTTAGCAGTATGAAGCTAAAGTAGAGCTAGCTCATAACGTTCACAGGCTACCACTGAGAGCTACTTAATATCTGACTGCCCAATTTCTGGTATCAGCAGCATCTTAGTGGAACAAAGTGTTGTTTGCAGATACGTTTACATGCTGTTTGTTGTTCTGCAGAACAAGGTGTGCTCATGTGTGTCAGTTAAGAAGGAGGGTTTCGCAGGAAAGCTAATGTAGGTTGTTGTTCAGAGTTTGTTTTGCTGTCTGACTCAGTGTGACGTCTGCTCTGCCGCTGATAGAGCGCTGGTGTTACCGCTTCATGCAAGATTTGAATGGCTGCACTGAAAGAGTTTCCAGCTGCAAAATAATGAGGCGCCAACATGAAACCAAAACATAAAATATCTAGATCACCACCATTACTCCCATTTCTAATGTAGGACAGGTGATTCACAAGCTGTCACAGACAAGAAATGACGTTTTATTTCAGTCGTACGCCGTCATATTACTGCTGTGGTTAACCGCTTTGTGTGTGTGATGCTCAGAGGAGAAATTAAATCCCCCCACAGACAGAAGAACAGCACGTATCACGCTGCTTTGTGTCTGCTAATTACAGCGATCAATCGCTGTGACCAGCTGCCAAAACAGGAGCGATGGCTTCACCAATCTCTTGCACACACGATCACAAACCAACGCGTGTGCTCACATGTAGAGGTGCTGAAAACCAGCAGAGTAGAAGCGGAGGTCACAGTTTCACTTTGCACAGATACAAGCCGGTAGAAGAAAAGGTGTGAAAGAAACTGTGACCATCACTGAAACCACATCGAGCTGCTTGTTTCTGTTTCACACAAACACTTCTGTGAAGTCTCAGTGCCGCGAACCTTAGCAACGAAAACAGCCTTAAAGTGTCTGACTGGGCTTCTGGGCCATTTTTAACAGCTCAAAAACATGCTTAGCCAGGGTTTACCACTCTAATTATATACACATTGCTTAAAAACACATTACAGAATATGATGTTCACTCATTAGAAACTGTGCATCTACACCTGTAATTGGTGTTAGCATTAGTTTTAGATTCACTCATTCACAGCCACATCACACACACACGTAATTATTTTGTGTAAAACTGCTTAATGTCCGATTTGTGGCCATTCTGTTAGTTACTACTTCAATATTTATCATTTGGGATTTTAATAGGGTCAGAAAAACAAACTCAAAGGTTGGTTTCACAACCACGACTCAGTAAGGAAGTAAAAGTCACGTAAACAAAACACAAGGGTTAATATTAAATCCTAATGCTACAGCAATCACAGTAGTGCTGCTGAATCATAAAGGCTGATTAAGGTTGCTGCTGCCTCGATAACACGTACAAACATTTGCACTGTGTGGTCATCGCTGAATTTCTCCAGAAGTCTGACATCGATTTGTAGAAAAAAAACCACGCCTCCACAAACACAAATACACAGAATATCGTGTGTTGTGGTGAGTCTGGGGATCACATGAAGCAGTCTGACACGTTTGACACACTTAGCAGCTGTTCTCACCGTGGTTCACTTTTTATTGGGGGCTGAGCGTGTGACGAGGTAAACACACACAGGACGACACATAAGTGGACGAATTTCGATGACTTTTTTATAGCATCTCGCTCGATAAAGAACGAGCTGAGGAGAATTTAAACATAACGATATTTTTACATCTTCTGGTTCATGTGAAACGCTGCACGTGACCTTTAATCACACCGAACAAACAGGTTGTTAGCCGTAATGGCTGCCAGCTACACGCAGCGCTGTTTGAAGCGATGCGGAGGGGGGAAGACTCGTGTTTTTGTTTGCCTCAGTCGGAGCAGGTGAAACTGACTATTAGACCGGGCGTCAGATCTCTGGCATAAACAGTAGTTAGTCACAGCACGGCGACTCCATCACTTGCCATTGATCCTCCTATAAACACACGTGTTTGCCATTTGTCGGCGGCAGGGAGGCCTCCGCTGCTTCATCCGCAGAGGAGCTTCCAGGAAGTTATCTGTTATAAGTGAGCGAGGCGAGACGCGCTCGGCTGCTTCCTAATGAAAATACGACGTGTTTCTGGTCCTGAACTCAGACCGTAATGAAAAAAACAGGCTGGCAGAGATGTCTGGAGCAGATTGGATATATCGCTTTATTTCTGTACTCGCTATAGGCCGGTATGTAGCTTTAGATCAGTGGAG